CCCTTGGCCTGCTCTGTGTATGGCCCGCAGCTAAGAATGGTTTTTACATTTTTATACTTTTTTTTCCAAAGAAGAATATGCAACAGAGACCTCATGTGGTCCACAAAGCCTAAAATATTTACTCTCTGGCCCTTTACAGAAAGAGTTTGCCGACCCCTGAATCAGCCACCTGATCTTGTGGTTTTCGGGAGAGGGCCAGGATCCTGGATCATTATTAATGTCTTTGGCCCCAGAGAAAAGTGAGTGTTAGGGGCTGGCCCACTGGCGTAGTGGTTAAGTTTGCACACTCTGCTTCAGCACCCCAGGGTTCACAGGTTTCGATCCTGGGTGCAGACCTACACACCGCTCACCAAGCCATGCTGTGGTGGCGTCCCACATACAAAACACAGAGGAAGATTGGGACAGATGTTAGCTCAGGCCACTCTTCCTCACCAAAAAAAAAAAGTGAGTGTTATATACCCTCATCCTACCTTTGCCAAATTCAAGTCCAGCAGAGGGCCTGATGCTGGAGAGGTGTGTATGTGTTTGGGGAACGAATGACACCAACTAAACATGTGACCTACCGGAGAATCCCAAGTGGGCACAGATCTCAGTTGAGATTCCTCTCTATCCCTCTCCAAGAGTTAGTGATGGCGACGGGAGAGGAAGGAGGGTCACAACCATCCTGTGCTACACTAGGGCTCCTGTTCTGGTGAAAGGCGATGCTAGGCCACGAATCCTGCCTGGCTCCTAGAATGCCGCTGTAGCGACAGGCCCCTTTGGTGGTTTCCATCAATCACATCCCACTGTCCAACGGGCCCTCAGATACCCAAATCATTTCATGTTCACTTTATGCTTCCACGTGCTCTGTGGTCCTTGTGTGTGCCGAGGAGGCCTGTGGGAGGGATGTGCCTTTTGTGTATAAAGACGCGCTCCTCCCCAGGGGGTTGCATCTCCAGCAGGCAGGACTTCTTTCAGAATCACCATTTTAGTCTCAGTTCTGTGAAACTGACTTCAATTTAGGGGGACAGTTCTTAGACAAAGAAAAAAAGACCCACGTGGTCCTTCTGGCTTTGTCACTGACTGGCTATGTGACTTTAGGAAACTCACTCTGGGCCTTCACATCTTTACCCATAAAAAGAGCTCTCTGATATCCCTTCCAGCTTGAACACTGATGATGTTATGAAGTCCAAGCTACCGGAATGCTATTCACCCTGTGATTCTTATGAAGAATGCAAATAGTGTATGTGGTACTTCTCACAAGTTTATATTTAGCATCATTTTAAAAATGAATGTGTTGGCCAAGCCTCAAAAGTACTCAGGGCACTTTTAGAGCCCCTGGTTACCTTACTCCTGCTGAAGACACTCAGAGCCCCTTCAGCAGGGCAGGTGACAGCAAGGCCAGACCCAGGCTTCTTGGCTCCTAATCCCAGTAGACAGTAGAGTACACTGCTTTTACACGGCTACCAGAGGCTTCACCTAAGACGTGAATGTCTCTTATAGCGCTGGGTGGAAGCAGCACTAGCATGGCCGGGCACATGGTAGAGGAGCAGCAAATGCTCACCCAAATTATCTGGACAGCCGGATATTTGCTATTCCGGGGACACTGCTCTAGAGGTCTTGTTATTTTTTTTCTTTTTACTCCAGATAGCTCCGAGATGTCTGTCTCACAAGTCAGAATGATGTAAAGATCATGAAAACCATACTGAATCTCACACAGACATTCATAAAAACCCGTGTTATTTTTTTTAACCCTTCCTATTTCTGTGATGGCAAATGGGGGACAATGTTGGACAGTCTCGAGAAAGGCACATACGGATGTAGCTTCCTTTTGCATCTGTTGACTAGGTGGTCAGCTTCCGTTTGCTCCACCTGCCCCTGCAGAACCACTCCTGCCTTTCCCAGCGTGGCCAAGACCGATTTATAGGAAACATCTGGCAGCAGCTTACCTCTCCCTCCATCCCACCTGCTGAACTTTGAAACAAAACACCTCTGGAAATTTTACTCAAGGGGATGGTCCAATACTCAGTGGCGATGGCGGGGGGGGGGGGGGGGGGGGGTTTGCTGGGTACGGAGTTTGTCTGATCAAGCAGTTAAAAGCCATGCTAGCCACTTATAGTTTTCCCACTTTTGAATACGCTAAACCAAAAATATGCTCCAAGAGCAAGCGAGAGGGTAGGAAGAGATGCCCTCAGAGTATTAAAAATGGATTCAGAACAACACTGGTCCCTGTGCTCCTTCCCCAGCACTTATCTTCTTAGCTAGGACGAGCCTTCACTGCTGTGACCCACCCCCCCCACTCTGTGCCTCACAGCTTTTCAGATAAGCCATGGATGGTGATCGAGACCTTTGGAAACCTACATTCTATATGTGGAAACACATCGATTGAAAATATTTCTCCCCAGCCTCCGGCTCCAAGAATAGAGTCAGTTTTAAAATAGGACAGTTTCAGTTTTGCTTTTTCTACCTTTATTACATTTTTGAGTTTGAGATACAAACCACTCTCTTATACCACACAAAATACATCCATTCTTGTGATTTTAAAGTGCATTTCCCCTTAACTTTGTATACAAAAATATTTATTTTTTAAAATGCAGAAATTTCTTGACAAGGCACTTTCAGGCATCCAATGAAGATGAGTCTTCGGTTCTACATTCACGAAGTAAGAGTGAAACCACACCATCCGAAGCTGCATTCTTGGAGTCCTCACAGTCTCTAGGAACTGATAAACAAAACCATCAAAACATTCACAGCTTTACAACTTGGGCTGCAAAGTTTTACAACCATAACAAGGAAAGCTGCCCATAACCACAGCTTATCCCTCAGGGTCCCAAAGGCGTCTCCTTCAGGAAGTGCAGATAAGCTGCCAAATCATCTTCAGATGACCCGCTAAGATCCCACTACACGTGTAACTTCTTGTCCCCAATTTCAGTGATCTCATCAGGAGAGACAGTAGGCGGGACCCCCGGGGAGGGAGCCTTGAGGCCGACTGGGGCAAACCACATCCGGGGGAGGAATTTGAAAAGAGGAAACAAATGGAAGACGATCAAGGTTTTCATTCACTGTCCACTGAGAGGGAAGACCCAGAAAATGGGCCCTTCTAAAAAGTGAGCAAACGCACATTTTGGTTTATAAACATATATATATATATATATATATATATACACAACCCATTTAACGTCCAGGTGACTACAATTTTTAAAAAGCAACTCATATGCAAAGATCAAAACCACAAAGCATTCTTTTAGAAGTTCGAAATTTACTTCTTTAAAAAAGCATACTGAAAGAGTAATGTTTTGCCACCGTTAAAATTAAATCTTAGAGATAAAATAAATTCTACCTTGACTCTAACATCGTTTCAATTTCTGGAGAACTACACAACTCCATTATTTCTCACCAGCTCCCCTACAACAAGAATACTTAAAAAAAAAAAAAAAACCCACTCAAATGTTTCATATCTTCCAAGAAACATTGAAAGCTTATTTATTATTTATCTTTATATAGTCCAGCCTATGTATTGCACCTAATTTGCAAATGCCCCCCAGGGCATTTGGGGGAACAAACATGAAACAAAAATGGAGCTGCTTCCCCATTCCTGGACAGCTGCACCAGGGGCAGGAGGCTGGTCCTTCTGGGACTGAGGGCCATTTGTCATCATAACCAGGAGCTGTCTGAGGGTCCAACCTACAAGTCAGGCTGCAGTGAAGTCTCCAACTAAGAACCTCGTCTCTCTCTGAGGTGTGGTGAGCTGTAAAATAAAGAGAGCTTCCATCGAAGCAGTTCCTGAGGCCATCTGTTCACATCCTGGGACAGAACTGGGCCAAAAGGAGACAGACTGATTGGTACAGAGAAGACAGTCTTCTTCAGACGCTGCCACCTCAATGAATGATGATGCTGACAGGGAAGTCGGGCAACTGGATTCTTTAGTCATGAAGGGTCTTTGCAAGCAGGTGAGGACTTGCCTGGTGGGACGAGCATCCCAGGTGCACTGCCGGGGGGGCTTGCAACCAGTGCCCCCAGCAAAAAAGCTGCAGTCAGCTGGGAGCAAAGAAGGATAGAGGGGAGGATTTATGGTGTTTTAAAAGAGATACTTATCACTGGATTACCATATTTCAAATTTTGACACAGAATGTCTTAAGATCATTATTACTGAAAACCAAGGAGTCACTTGAGACATTTTTTTTTATGAACATAGAATGATTTCATTACCTTTAGTCTGGTAACATGTAAATGACAGTGCACCCTGTACCTTTCCTGAATTGCAGGAGGAGGGAGGGGCCTTTTTAAAACAAGATAAATTAATTACCTATATAAAATCAGTTTTGCTTCCATTCCACTTAGATTTACACTCTTAATAGTTTCGATCAACAGATCTGTAACATTGAAAGTACTGTCTGTGTTCTTGATGGGTAAGATATGCTTAGATAAAACACAGTTCTGCCCAATTTCAGCATAAGATAAAAATGTGATTTTCCCATAAATGATATTATCATGTAATCCCCGAGTGTCACCCACCTGGGAGAGGCATAAAAAATAAAGCACTGGATTGCAGACGAGTGACAGCCAGTTTTAGGAACAAGAATTCTATTGAATACCACTTAATAGCATTTAAAAAGTCAAAACATTTTTAAGTTCAAAAAAGGAGGAAAAAAAACCCAACGACAAAACTCTAGGAGGCAAGACACTCCATACCTGCCCAACACTGATATTCTGATTGATCTGGAAAACGCAAGTGAAAATGCTTGCAGAGTCCAGCAGCTGTGCCCCAAATCCAGGCAGCTGTGCATTCCTCCTCCTGCCTCCCTTAGGAAAACCTCGCTTTACTAAGATCAGGCAAAAGGAAAATGAGACAGTCATTTAACTGAGCTCCAAAAACAAAAACAAAACAGAAAAAAACCCAACCTTCTACAAATACACATGTAGAAATGTTTTTTAAACACCCCCAAGTACAAAATAATCTTGCCCCAGAAAAATCACAGGATTTGAGGATCCATCTGACAATGAGTCCGAGTCGTCTCATCACAGTGTGAACCAACAGACTCTTAATTCTTTAGTCCAATATGGTTAAGAACAACTAACCTCTGATTATTTCAGAGTAGGCAAACACTGAAAATAAAGTGTGAGAACTTGCTGAGGTTTCTCTCCCCTCTCCCTTTACATCCTACACACCATAAATAAGAACACCCAAACCAACGTCCCAGGGTGCTTGGAAACTGTCCTGGATATTGTAAATCACAGTCAAAGTAAAACCAAACCTCTTCGGAAGGCTTTGAGGATATATGGGATCTGCAAATCAAAATGTCCTGAACACGGCATAAAAGATGACTCTCCAGGAAAGGCGATTCTAAAATCCTTTTGTGAAGAACAAGATGCTGCAAACCCGCTGAGCAAGTTAACACAAATCATGTAATTGAGCCGTCTGGTGACTCAGGGTAAGAGTGAGTACTTAGAAAGCTCCCTCAAAAGCCAAGAGGAAAAGCTAACAGCGTCCTACTCCTGACTGTCCCGCTTTGTCACACCCCTGCCATCTGTAACACCGCACAGGAGCCAGTTACGTTCGATAACTGGTGTGCCATTCCCTGCTGGAGTATACATGTGGGGTCAGAAAGAGGAAATGTCTGTCTCAGTCACAGGCTGATTTGCCTTTATTATCTTTTCCTGAACATCAGATGAACTGTGGAAGAAAATAAGATGCAAAAAAATGCACAAAGTGTGAAGTAGACATGGAACGGCAGCAGCAGGCAGGAAGGGCCTGGCTGGGCGGAGAACACCCGAAGACGAACGGCGTGGATCCGATGGGAGGTGGCTGGGGACGGAGTGACTATGAGGCGACTGACTTGCCACATCCGAGGGGAGAGGAGCAGCTCCCCAGGGCAGCCTGGCACACTCTGGGTTGCCCTGTTAAGCCACCATCCTCCAGCCTCGCCAGCACTGCCTGCAGGCCTGGTTCCTGCCCAGACCCTGTCCCGCACATCCTGCTCGGCCCCTCGTGGCTGCCACGGGCGCCAAGCAGCCGGCACACCACATCCACTCTGAGTGTGAAACCGGTTTTGTGATCTAAACCTGGCTGGTTTTGCTGGTTTACGAAAAAAGTAAACAGGATCCTTTCTTTTCAAAAACTGTGCCTAATGGCAGTTCAACTTTTCTCTTGGCTTCCACCTCCATCCCACGGTGACTGCGTTGAGGCTTGTCTGCACCCACTCAGCCAGGCTCTGTCACGTGCAGTCACTAATAGTAGGGCCCCAGCTTTTCGTATCCTAAATAACTAGGCCACTCTGGGAACAGACCATAGGAACACCGAGGGCTTCCGAATTGGTCAAACGATATTCCGAAATCTGGTCCGTTCTGTTGCTCGGCTGTCCCCTGAGCGGATTTCAGTTCAGCCCGGATGATCCTATAGTTTTTGCCTTTGTTGCTGTCCCAGTATGCCTGTCCGTTGCACTCATAGCACACAGCAAACTCCATTCTTTCATAGGACTGAATTTTCTCGGGTAAGCTAATGTCAAAGGAGAACGTGTCCCTGTCTGAACCGGCGTAAGTGTCCTTCACATACCGACAGGGAAAGTCTGTGAAGCTTTTCCAAGTGTCAAATGTCATTCTGATTTTCACCATCTTCTCAAAGGCGAGGTTCTGCACCTTCACTGTGCCCGAGATTGCTTTGTCCTTCAGGACGCAGTTTTCAAGGCACACGTGGTCGGTCTGAAGCCGATTTCTAAAGTCTAAGTAATCGGCTGAAGGCTGTGAGAAATCCAAAACAAAGCTCTCGCTCTCTGCTGTCGTCAGACTCACAATGTTGTCTAGGAGCTCGGTGATGTTAAACGGAATATCTAACGGGTCATCGAACTCCGAGAACACTTTGACCATTGTCAGGGCCAGCCCCTGATTGTCTGCGAAGGACACTCGCTTCTTCACCTTCTTCTCCTGGACGGTCGGGGCCACCATGCCACTGGCTTCGTTCTTGCTGCTCAACTGAATACAAGGCCTTAGAGGCTTGCTGGGCTTCGGGGAGATCTTGAAGGTGCACCTCTCTCTGCGCAAGGAAGGGGCCATGCAGCTGTATCTGCACTCGATGTCCACGGCCATCATTGGGTTAGACGCATAGGCCAGGACCCTGGCAAAGGGAGAAGAGAAAGAAACAGCAACGAGATCAGACCGACGCTGAAAGTCATCATTCCAACAGGGACTGGTACATAACGTCTCCTTCATCCCTGTCCACACGGCTACAGCTGAGTATTATCTCAAGTGTGACCTCGGTTTCAGGGAAGATTAGGAGTGTAACGTTAGGGGAGAAAAGGTCCAAGGTTAAAACAAACAAACAAACAAGTATGGAACCACTGGTTTCAACACTCAGTTCACAGGTTTTTCTGTCAGGGTTTCTTGGGGCCTTCAGAATGCTAATGCGCCACAGGGAATAATGAAAAGAGTACGCTGTGTGCAGAATTTCCCAAACTTATCTGATTAGGGAGCCCTTTTTTGTGGAGCATGTTGCAGAGCACATGTTCTGAGGAACATACTTTGGTAAATACTGCTTTAATCCAATAAAGAGAACTTAATCCATCCCATAAATATGGATTAGTGTTTACTATATGCTGGGCATTATGCCAGACGCTGGGATTCAACGGTGAAGATAGACACAAACCTGTGTGCATTCAACTCACAGCAGATTTTTATATTCCAGTGTATCTTTCTTTAAAAACCCCCCAGCAATTTAGTATTTTTAAACCTTTAATATAAGTGAATATTTGTCTTATCTACAGCGAAAACAGCCTCTATACGAATACAAAGCAAAGAAGATCATGTTAAAGAGGTTAAATCTGACTTCATAAAAGCTATGTTTTTCTGTAAGTGAAAAAAAATAAGTAATATCAAAAGTCTTAAAAACTGGGAAAACATTTTACAAAAAGCATGATGGCAAAGAATTAATACATTAATATATAAAGAGTTCTTAAAAAGCAATTACAAAGTCAAACAATCCAGAGAAAAATGAGCAAAGACCATGAATAGAAAATTCATGAAAGAAATTTAAAAGTGGCCCATAAATACGCAAAATGTCCAATCTTGTAAGTAATTTAAGAAATTTAGATTAGAAAACAATGCCTATTTTTGTTTACCTATTGAGTTAAGAAAGAATTAAAAAAGATAATACAATACAAATATTTCTATTAGTCTAAATTGGCACAACCTTTGTAAATGTTCTTAGCATCTTTGGTTCTAATATCACATACAGTTATTTATCTTAAGGAAATAATTAAAAGTCCATGAGGGTTGATTACTAACATATTCAATGCAATAATTATAGGGGGAAAAGAGTGAGAAAATAACCTAAATGACCAGTAACAAGTGTCTGGTTAAATCAATTGTACCACATCCATGTGATAAAACTTTATATCATCACTAAAAACCATTATTTGAGAAAAGATTTAAATGGCATGGAAAAAATTTATAATATATTGTTAATATAAAAAAATGGAGAAGATAAAATTGTACACAGAGACCAAACTTGTGGGGAAAAACTATGTGTATGCACACACACAAAAGACTGAAGATAAAATTCTCAGAATATCCAGGTGATACGATTTCAGGAAATTTCTGTTTTCCTACTTTTTACTTTCTTATATTTTCTAAAATAATATCCCTTCAAAATCAGGAAAAATTAGTCTAATAAAACACCTTAAATATTTTAAGATTTTCCAAAAACCCACCCAACACTACTGCTTCTCTAAAGCCAAGCAATTTTTACCATTCTAATTACCGTGGCAAATTTATATTCTGAGTTGACAGTTGCAATGGGCTAAATGAAGAAGTCAGTGATGAAACCAGGATTAAAATCTCTAGTCTAAGAATCACAGACATGGTTTCTGGATTAGTTCCCCAACACACCTCCCCTCACTATGGCAAGGGTGCAGGGATGTGGTGGTGTGTTGGGGGGCTTGCTCTCAGGCCTCCCCTAGTTCCCACCCCATCGTGGGGGCTGCAGGGTGATGGTGGTCATTAAGGAGAAGCAACAGGCAAAATGTTGCTCATCTTCTTACAAGAGCTGGGACCACTGTTTCCATCCAATAAATAATATCTCGTTTTCAACTTCTGATTTTGATTAATCAAATATATAAAGAAAAATGAGAAAGGGCGAAGACATATTGGGTTTTCAAAAGAAATACAGCACTGCCCTAGGATGCAGGAATCACTTAGTGATGACCAACTGGAGAAATACACAAATTCAGAGACAAAACAATAATTTACAGTTATAATGCAGTTATCTAAACATTCATTTGAAAAGATATTTGTCTTACTGTTTTCTCTCTATCAGAGTCAAAAGAGTGAAAATTTTAGGAACAAATGTGCTTTCTATTATCTATTCTTATACCCATGCATTTGTTCTGGAAAGGAAAGTTCTGACTGGATTGGGCAAGACAGCTTTAAAGAGTCAGTGGGTTGACTAAGGGGTTCAACGTAAAAAAAACCCTTACTTACATAGTAGTTACATTTTAGTTTTCCCCTGTCCATCGCAAAATTTGTCAGAATGTATTGGAATTAATTATACCTAGGCTCTAATTTCAACAAAGGCGGTTTTCCTTTTTTCAATTAAACATGAATTAAAAACCAAACAGCCGACCAAGCCTTGCATCCCAGCCCCTTGACAACCTGGGTGTGAACCAAGGGAGGAGGGGGTTCCTCCTGGGCTGCAGCTGCTTCCTCCTGCCCTGAGTCAGCACTCGGTTATCCGCAAGTTCTCTATGCACGTACAAGCCTGCGAGTCAACCTCATACGTGCTTTCCCGCACAACATGAAAACCCTCGTTAGAAAAAGGTTGGGAAACTCTCAAGACGCTGGGGAAATAGAATTCTAAAGCAAACGGATCAGGTAAAGAATGTGCACACTTGCAGTGGACTAAAGTCACTCTCAAATTCTAATCCTGCAGGTTAAAAACACTTGGCTGAAGACTTGGGTACAGTTAACACTGTTTGGACCCAGCTGTGTCCATTTCCTCTAAGATCCCGTTTATCACCAAGCTGTCAGAACAAGTGGAACTGGGGGTGGGGAGGTGCGGGAGCTAGTCAGAGCCACAGATACTTAAACAATTCCACTGGCACTTTCTAGAGCCTAATTGGTTTTGCAACATTCTTCCATGGAGGGCAAAAGTAAGGTTAACCACCTGGCAGCACAAGGGTACTAACAGGGTACTGGCCCAGGGCATTGCACAAGCAACCCTGCCCAGAATCCCGTCACCTTTTTAGTGTCACCATAACTGGGCGTGAGGACACTAACCCCTGTGGCCTCAACTTGGGGTACGATCTGACTTGTTGGCCACCTTGCCTATCCACAGGTGGATACAGGCTTTTATTAACCAGATCATTCTCCAAGAACAGGTACACTAAAGTGCTGGTTTGGTACAGGCCTTCCTGACCCTCAGCTCAGGAATTCTCCAGTGGACCCTGACAGGGACCATCACCCAGAAGCACTCCTAGCAATGGAGACGTACAAGGTAATAGTTTCCTAAGTCCCTGAAAGGAAGGCACCTGGACAGGTGTTTTATCCTCAAATGGCATGAAAATGATCAGTTCCAACACAGGATGCACCCAGCTATACCTCAGGCCCCCTCTCCTGACAGACTCTCCTGCCGCTCAGCCCTTTTATCTCCCAGGCCAGGGAATATGAGTCACTAAGGTTGGCCAGGGAAAAATCCACAATGAGAAGAGGCATGGACACACATTTGAAGGAGCAGAGCATGACGTAGAACCTGGATAAAGTTTGTTGCAGGGCAGGATCACGAGAGTATGAGTAGCTGTTACTCAGACCAGTATGCATTCTCTAAACACTTTCCTTCCAAACAGGTGACTAAGAGATCAATGTTGCCCCACGAGGTGGGCCATGCCTGAGGTAGATTTTAGTGTTTCTGGCCAAAAGAGGGCAAACCCTAACACTCCATGAAAATTGGAGAGAACACAGATAATTTTGCATAAACGCTTTTTCTGTTCCACTAGTGACAACACACCTTCTCAAGACAGCTGGCCAGGGTTAGAAGTCATGGTGATTTTTCTTGTGAAAACTATATATATATAGACATACAGAAAATAACCCCATGACCTTCACAGTTTCAGGCAGCTGAGCTATTGGTTTGCTGGCTGTGCTTTTCATAGGAAGTAAATATTTTTTTTGTATTGAGGCCAAGACATTTCTCCTCCATTCTCTTGTACTCTGATAAGAAAAGACAGAAAAATCAGACGCACCGAGAACCCACCAGAAACACTGAAACTATATTAGGTAAGCATTCACAACCAGATTACCAGGTTATAATTTTTTAAAGACATGGCCATCTACCCCTTTGGCATTTCTTCATTCCCTCCCAAAAAGTTTGGCTGACACAGTACGAATAAAGGTGACATCTTTCCCTTTGTACTCAGACCATGGGGCCCTTATTCGCAGCGTTAAAAGCCACTTGTACTCCTCTATCCTGTCACCGACATCCGAAGTACATTTGAGATACATACCTGTGGATGAGGCTGCATATTACAGGAAAGAGGTAAGTTAAAATGGCACAGTCCCTGCCATCTAAAAATGTCCAACGTGAAACAGAGAACACTGGCCTAGGAATGCCTCCACCTAGCTGTGCCACTTGGGGCAAGTCACTCAACCTCTCTCATCTTGAGCTTTCTCCTCTGAGGTCCCTTCTCGCTCTGACATTCTCGGTTCCTCATAATGCCTGATGTTCTTCTCTTCCCACTGGCTTCTCACTAGACACTTCAATTCTCCTGTTGTGGTAAGTGCTCCAGCTGTCTTCACATTAGTTTTGGCTCCTGGACAACGCTGCCAAATGGACAATTTCCTCTGCTCCTCCGCACCCCAGCTCAGAACCCTAACGCTGTCTTCTCCCGGACCCTGGGTCTCCCAGGGAGGCCTGGCCACAGAGACCACAGGCTCCAACACCTTCCAGTAACTCTACAAGTTCTCAAGCCAAGTCTTTCCTCAATTTTCTCCTCTTCTGCAGGAAACACCAACAGGACGGGCCCCGAATTTTCTACTATGTCCTTCTGGGCCCACTACACCCTCTTTTGCAGCAAGTCCCTTCCATATCCCTTTCTCTGCTCAAAAGGGTAGCATGAATAGGGCACGGGCAGGGGCGAAGGCAGAGCGTCCAGTCTGGAAGATCCCACAGGTCACTCTGACCCTGCCCCGCTCGGTCCAGCCAGGACGGGCTGCGCCCGCCCCCAAGCACTCCACGAGCCTCGTGGGCCTCGGCCCGGCACTCACCTTTTGGGCCGCGGGGAGGCCCCCTCTCCAGCCCGCTTGCTGCATCGGAGAGTCCGGAGGGAGGTGGCAGGGGAGGCCGCCACCACCAGACTACGTGAGCGTCGCTGTGTCCGGGAGGCAGGGCTTGGGCTCGGTTCCCGGAGATGTGACCGGCAGGGGGAGGAAGACGACGAGGAGGAGGAGCCCAAGTTATCACACCAGGGCGGGGCGCGGGGCAACCCCGGCCGGGGCGGCCCCTCTCGAGCGTCCCCGCGCGGCCGCCTCGCCCCCGCCGGCTCGGGACACCTCCAGTCTGGGGACTAGGGGTCAGGGCCAGGGGTGGCCCGGCTCCAGGAGGCCACGGCCGCCGCAGCGCTCCATGTCGCATCGCCCTTGGCGGCCGGAGAGACTAGCAAGTGTGTTTCCTTGCGTTTTACGGGGCAACCGAGCCCGGAGGGGGACGAAGCGACTTTTCCTTGCGCTCCCGACCCCACCACCCAACTCCGCCCACACCCTCCATAAGTGTCGGGTCCCAAGCTGGAAACGCCTTGTGTCAGGTTCGAACCCGGGACAATAGGCGGCAAGAGTATCTGGAGTCCGAGCCCCAGTCCCCTGGCCACCCCTCGCGGCCGGGACCCGCACCTCGGTGGAACACGTGGGTCTGGCCAGGTTTCATCCCACCTCTTGTCCCTGAATTGCCCTCTCCACGTGGAAGCAACAGCTGACTAGAGCCCGCCCAGAGTGTTCCACCCCGCAGTGTAACTACAAGTTGCACGGTGAGAGTGTGATATTAACCAAAGAGGGTCTCCACTGCGCGCCCCTCGCCGCCGTTTCCCGGCCCTGCACGCGGACTCCAGGGCTTGGAGAGGGACGTACCTGGTACAGCTCACAAGCCCCGCGGTGCAGAGGCGCCAAGCCCGCGGCAGCATCCGCGCGGGGGTGGCAGGGGCAGCGGCGGTGAGGGCAGGAGCGGGGGTCGGGGCTCAGGTCCGCGCCCTCCGCGGGCAGCCGCATCCGTCCAGGCGCCAGAGCAGCCCGCTCGCCTCCTCCCTGCGGCCCATCACCCGGGACTCGGGCTCCCCGCCGCCGCGCCGCTCACTTTAACTTTCCAGCCACCTCTCCCCACTCGGGATGCCATCCCAGACCCCCTTTCACGTGAACGCCCCCCGCAGCCAATGGGCGCGCCCGGGACGCGAGCGGTCGACCAATGCCGGTGGAGCCGCGGCCCCGCAGAGCAGCGCTCCGCCACGTGATCGGCTGCGCGCCCGGAGTGATAGGGCTGGATTCCAGGGGCTGGGAAGGGGACGGTGGGTCACTGTTTCATCAGGAGCCCGGGGACGGCGCCAGGGCGCAGAGGCACTTGCCTACCGAAGAGCATCCCATTGCAGCAAGCGGGCTGGACGCAGGCGGCTTGCAGGGTTCCCTCTTCCTAGGCAAAGTCCCAGATGGGCAAAGCCTTGCTGCACGCTCAGAAGTGGTTTCAGTGGCATTCACACCGTCCCGCCCGCCCCCCCTTCATCTTACAGTTTAGCCACGCAGCTCACAGATGACCGTTACTTGCCGCATCGTATGCAGAGCCCGGAGGAGCCCGGAGAGAATAAATTGTTCTCTCCCCCATTTGAGGTGGAGTCTCCGAGATTGGTACCCCCAGTTCCTATTAGAGTGTTGAAAAGAAGTAATTACTTTACGCTTGCTTTGTGCCTGTCATGGTCCAGGTGTTACTGTGAAAGAAATACAGTAAAACTCTTTTTATAAAATTGTTGGGGCAAAGGTCCAATACCCAGTTGAGGGTTTCTCAAGTAGGTATGTTTTAGAGGAAATTTCCCGACTTGAATCTTAATAACTACTTATACTTACAGGGCCTCCATGATCTCTATGATACACCTTGAGGTCTGTAGAGAATGATGAGCTTAAAAGAGATCAGAAGCCCGTCCTCTCATAAGGTCAATTTAAATATACATATAGTCATGTGTATAATCTCCTTTACGTTCAGCCCTGAGCTAGCCATCTTGGGGTTGAGGATCCCAGTTTTCTAGTTTTAATGAATTTTGTAAATTGGCATAGTGTTGCCAACTTTTTAAAGTGCCCAGTACAGACATTAAAATAAACCCTACCATCTTCTGTTACCATCTTTTTATTAAAAACAAAAACAAAAACTACACTTTAACAGCAATAACAGCAAAATACAAGAAGGACATAATCTCAGAGTAAAGGCCAGTCCTTCACATTGGGTATATTTAGCTTTATGAAAATTTATTATGTTGAATATGGTATTTGGAAATTTCTGCTTTAAGGGATATAAGAGCAGCTTCTAATTTTACTGGGAATGTGAGCCTAAAACCCTAGTCGGTTACAATAATTCAGTGCAGGCCTTCAGCTCTATGGAGAGCTTCCCCAGACACAGTCTCCCTGTCTGAAGGGCGATCATTAGTCCTCTTGCTTCTCTTTCAATGGGCATATCTGATATGCCCTGTGAAATCAGCTATTGGTAGGTGGTTGGCAAATACAGTTTCTATGCAGTATTCCCTTTGCCAACTCTAAACCCCTTTTATTAGCTGATGAGTAGGCTGAAGATTTATTAAGCCAAGTGTTGGCTACATTTCTCAAGTGTAGTGAGAATGCTAGAGGAGTGAGCAAAGATAAAGAGCCAACACTGCAAAATATATGCAGGGAAAGGGTGACCTGAACCAAACTGGGAAGGGGTTGGGACAAGTAAATACAACTTTATAGCGTTAGGGTTTGGAAGCATCTTCCTTACATGGATCTAGGAAACCATGGGTAATAACTTCCCCTGTGGTCTAGATGACTATTTCAGACCAGGAGGGTGGGGCTCAACTTAGTCGTGGCTCACCCCAGTCTAGGTAGGTAGGAGTGTGACGGCTCTGAGTTTGAAAGGAGCACAGTCTCCTTTGCAATCAGAATAGGGCTGGGATGCAAGGTCTGGAGGACTGTTCCAGCCGAATTCATAGCAGTCCCAGAGCCCCAGAACCGGAGAGCTGGCCTTGCCCTTGGACACCATCTTGCCTCACCCTCTAGCAGGTGAGGGAAAGTAAGCAGAGAGAGGGAAAGCAAAAATGGAAAATTTCAGTCCTTTAGTTAATGCATACTAAGTTCCTTTTATAATATCTGGCATTGAATTTTAGCCTTAATTTCATTTAATAAGCCAACCTTAAACCAAAATAAACCAAATAGACTGGCAGTGGCTAAGCATAGTTAGTTATCATTTTTCCATAAACTGTTCTTTTTCGTGGCTCTTTACCACAAACCTGGGTGCTGGAAATGGAAAAGTGAGTTAAATATCATCTTGCTCTCAAGAAGCTCTTCGGCGGATAAATAATGATCTGGGATAAATGTATGGAAGGTCAATCTCTGTGTTTGGGGAGCCAAGAGTAAGACTGCATGTGTGGCAGTGGGGGTGGAGGTGAGGACTGGGGAAGGTCAGAGAAGGCTCCTGGAGAAGTGACCAGTGAGCAGGATCCTGAAGGGGGAGTTAGGTTTAGGGGCACTGGGAGAGAGCATGGCAGGAATTGGCAAAGGTGCAGAGCTCTATATGTTCCCCCAAAGAATTTCCACTCTGCTGGTCCTCTTTCTGCCTTTAATATTAGACAACGTTACTTTAATTAATAGACTTTTTTTTTTGGTGAGGAAGATTGGCTCTGAGCTAACATCTGTTGCCGAGCTTCTTCTTTTTTTTGCTTGAGGAAGATTAGCCCTGAGCTAACATCTGTGCCAATCTGCCTGTATTTTGTATGTGGGTCGCTGCCACAGCATGGCTTGATGAGTGGTATAGGTCCGCGCCCAGGATTGGAACCCGAGAACCCAGGCTGCCGAAGAGGAGCGTGCCAGACTTAACCACTATGACGAGGTGGCAGCCCCCAACAGTGTCTCTCTATGCGTTTGTTAGCATCAGCTGTTTGCTCAACCAGAAAGTTTTAAAAAATATGGTTAATGTCTTATCTCCTTCTCAACTTAACACATTTCAAAAACTGCCCAAACCTAAGTCCTATCTTCATCCAAGATTTGGGAAAAGAAATTATTATTATTATTTTTTTTTTTTGCCTTCTAGGAGTTCTAACATTTTGCTTCTCCTTAAATAGAAAGTATTGCAAAGTGATTCTAAATAAAAATAACCAGCACCAAGAGCTGGAACTAAAGAAGAGAACATTCTTTTGCCTGATCAGAATAGAAAGTGGGGAGGACTATCTCCAAACTGCCCAAGCCCATTTATATTTAGATGCGTGGAGCTGATCGCACCTGTTAGAGCTGCAGATCTGTTCTGGGCGCATTATGTTACCTGGGGCCCTCTGCCCCTCTTTTAGATTTGCCTGAAAGTGACCTGCTGGGTCATGTTTTATGGGACAGGCAGATGAATACTTGCAGAGGGATTCTGTAAGCCTCTGTCTGGGGAGAATGTGTCCTTGGTGTGGGAGAAGATCTTGAGTAGTTCGCACGTCAAAGCTCCTAGCATCCATTAGGGCATTTCCTCACTGTCGAGGGCTTTTCAGTTCCTGAGTGAGGTTGATGTCGGGACCACTCTCTTAAAAGCTACGTGCACACGGTGGCTTTTATTCCACAGCTTCATATCTTGTCAGTGCTTTGCATGAACCTGATATAATATCTTTAATTGGTATTATTGATTATTTTTTATGATTATAAAACTAATAAAAGATCACTGTAGACATTGTGGAACATACAGAAAAATATACAGATGAAAATAGAATCAGCACCACCCAGCAATAACTACTAATACAATTCACTGTCTTTTCTTTCAGTATTTATTCTGTACATAAAATTATACTATCAGGATCATTGTATATATACAGTTTAATATCTTAATTTTTTACTCATGATTGCTTCTCATTTTGAGTGTATTAGTATTATAATTTTTCTGACATGCTTTTTAATGGCTGCATAGTATTCCTTCATATACAGAGACCATACTTTAACTATATTCTTATTGTGGGACACTTAGACTTTTTTCCCAAATGTTCTCTATTGTAAATACACCTTGATAAGCATCTTTACATTTAAATCTTTGTCCACATCCCTGATTATTTCATATAACCATCTTTCCTGCAGAGTACAGACATTCTTCAGACTCAATTTATATTGCCAAATTGTTTTTAGAAAGATTAGTATTGACTTTTCATCCCCACTACTAGAG